GAAAAAACATTTATCCAGTTCCTTAAAACAGGAGGAAAGAAATCAAGGTGGTAGTATAAGTAAAAATCAAATAGATGAAATATGGGTAAAAAGTATTCCGTCCCATTTTCATGATTTTAAAACTGAGAACAAAGAAAAAGTAACAATATTTGATACTTGCAACAGATAAAAATATATTTCTATTCAGTGATTAATTAAGGAAGAGAGTCAGAGAAAGAAGAGAGAAGGGCAAACGGGAAAATAGAATTGTCAAGAGAGACACACACAGTCCCAGGAAAGAAAGATGAGGACCTTGAAACATACTCCCACAAAGGACAGAGACTCAAAGCTGGGACATATAGATACACAAAGATTACATATATAAAATGGATCATATAACAATGTGCCTATTTTATGGTACTTTTAGGGTAGTTGCCAAAAATACTTCCCAATAATAACAGCCAATACCAACTGAACACTTGTTCTGTGCCAGGCACTGAGCTAAGTGCTTTGTATGCATTATGTCATTTAACCCTCACATCAGTCCTGTAAGACACTATTACTATTACATTCTCTGTTTTACAGATAAGGAAACAGAAGCTAGGGTGGTTAAACAATATGCTCAAGTTTACCTCTCTAGGAAATGGCGGTGCTAGAAGTCAGCTTTGCAGTCAGCCAATACTGAGTACTGAGTCTGCCAATTACAAGCCAGGTGTATTAGTTTCCTAGGGCTACAGTACTAAAATACCACCAACTGGGTGGTTTATAAGAACAGAAATTTATTGTCTCACAGTTCTGGACACTAGGAGTCCAAATCAATGTGTTGTCGGGCCATGCTCCTTCCAAAGTCTCCTTTCTTGCCTTTTCTAGCTTCTGGTAGGCCCAGGCATTCCTTGGCTTGTAGATGCATCTTCACATGACCGTCCCTCTGTCTCTCTGTGTCTCTCTGCCTTTTTTATAAGGACACCACTCTGATGGGATTAGGATGCACCCTACTCCAGTATGACCTCATGTTAACTGATAACATTTTCAAAGACCCTATTTCCAAAGAAGGTCACATTCACAGGTACCAGAGATTAGGTCTTTGACGTAACTTTTTGGGGGGATGCAATTCAATCCATAACACTGGGTGAACTTGAAACTTGAACAACTAATATACACTTCTCTGAGGCCTAATTGCCCCATTTGTGAAATACAAATAATAATACCTTCCTTACAGTGTTGCTAATGAGATAATGAATATAAATTGGCTTAGCAAAGGTACCGATACATGGTAGGCACTCAACACATGTTAATTTCTGACCTTTGGATCCCTTTTCCTTTCTCCTGGTAGGGTTATTAGTGATTAAATGAAACATGTGAAGCTTAGTACAGGGCCTGGTACCAAGTAGAGTTCAATAAACGATAGTTTCTCTCCCTAGTCCTAGGTGAATCTTACATGTCTCTATTCATTACCAATGATCATGAAGATGGCACAGGACTGGGCAATTGTACGTGGGGTCCCCATGAGCTGGTGCTGACTCAATGGCAACTAACAACAACATTCCTTATAGTACCTTTGCATTAAACGGTGCCCTAGAAATGTTTGAACTATACACTAACCCCACAGCTAATTACTAATATCTAACAGAGAAATTTTTAGCATCCTCTCTCCTTCCCCCAATTTCTTCAGTTCTCACTCTATTTATTCTTTTCTTAATAATAATTTATTTTATTATTGTTGTTGTGGAGAATATACACAGCAGAACATACACCAATTCAACAACTTCTACATGTACAATTCAATGACATTGATTACTTTCTTCGAGTTGGGCAACAATTCACACCCTCCTTTTCAGAGTTGTTCCTCCCCAATTAACATAAAATCACTGCCCTCTAGGTTTCCTATCTAATCTTTCGAGTTCCTGTTGTCAATTTGATCCTATATAGATAGATCTTAGAAGAGCACTATGCTCAAGGCAGACATTCTTTACTAGCTATGCTAAACTATCATTTGGTTTTAAGAAGACTCCAGGGGGATATTTTTGGTTTAAAGTTTCCCACTCTATTTATTCCTAATAATATCTTGAGGTAGAACTCTGTAGGGATAAGTTTCTAAAACAAGATTGTCATATTTAAGTTATATCAGACTTTCTAAAAATCACATAAGCATGATTCATTAAACAATTACTGAAGATTTCTGCCAATCCAACTGCAAATGCAACTATCATGATTTTATTAGCTCTGGGAAAATAAATCCCACAAGTTCTGAGATTACAATTCTAAATTCCAGAGTAGGTAGAGAAGGCAATAAATGTAGATCTAGTATACTGACAACAGATGGCAGCACTTGAACATCAAACTAACCCTGCTTTCCTTGCCCATGTTTGGCTGTGACTTGTAAAATCACAACAACCCAATTGAGGTGGGCAGATTATACATCTACATAAAGGGCTTCTCATGAGCACTTGAAATAGTCACATAGTTATTGAAATGGCAAGCACATAGGGATGTAGCCATAGTGTGGTAAGGTGAAGGGACAATGTGAGATGAGGCACAGAGTGTGACTTGGAGTTATAAAGTTTGTAAGAGAAATTCAACTGGGTTCTACAATCCTGAAAATGGGGCTATACATCAACAATTAGAACACTGGACACATATACGCACTTGAAATGCACTTCAGCCACACTTACACGATACAGCCAGAAGTTGAATGATGTTATTTAAAAGAAATGAAATTTATTTGCAAGTGTGGGTGGGCCATATAAACTAAAGGGAGTTATAAGTAATAAAAAATAGTATTACAATTACTATTTTTGTAATATTTGTTAAATGGTAATAGATTTGTATTCACCTATTTACTGGGAAGAATTTTTTTTTTAAAGGTTACTACTTTTGGACTGATTTGCTATTTTATACTGATAACTTACACAAGAAGAAATGGCTTTTCCCATCCTCCTATGTCTCCTGGTTAACATCAAAAGCTTTGGAGAAAAAAAGACACCTGGACTGGCACCCAGCTCAGTCACTTTCTAGCTGTGTGACCTTACCAAGACACTACTTAAGCTGTTACTCATCTAGAAAAGAATGCTAATACCTACCTCACAGGATTTTGTGAGGATCAAAGAAGTTAAGCAAATTGCACAATGCCTACCACATACTAAGTACTCAATAATTGATAGCTATTATTATTGTTGTTATTATGGTTTCATGTATATGCCCCTCTCCAATTTCAAATTATTTACTTGAAATTCCTGAAAATTTATTGCTAACTATATTACGTATAGAGAAAGTGGCTGGGACCTCGGTAGCTGTAGTAATCATGTTCTTGTGAATATTGTAGATAAACGCAGTTAGTTTTGGAAGGGAGCGGGAAGAATGCAAATCTTAGTTTTATATAATTTGCATGAAGGTGCCTATATAAGCTCAGGGCAAGGATCTTATGTTTAGTTCTGCTTAGCTAAGTTTGCCAGAGCCAAAGGACTTTACTGACTTATGCTAATTAGTCTGCCCTGCAGTACCCAAAGAGCAAACTAAAGATGTGATTTCTTCCTCGTCATTGGTGTTGGCGAGGGGCACATAGTGCAGGCTTTGGATAGTGATTACCTGGAAGGGTCTGGCCCCTAAACAGGTGGCAGAAACGTCTGTAGTCAGCCAGTAAAATATTCCCTCAGGCAATGTACGAAAGTTCCTACTAGCCTACTCTAATCAGACTGGTTTGTCCTGCCCTTTCCGGGAATGGGCTACTCTTGCAGTGAGAGAGGGTTGAGAGTAGGTAGGCGGAATGGTAAAGAACCAGGTGTACTGCAAAAACCAAATTAAAGTTGTGGGTGTGAAGGCTAGTAACCTCACTAACCTATGAGCCCTGCTTGAATGAGGGTCATTTCTTGTTTGTTTTGTGTCCTTAGTGCAGGACTCAGCATTTAATATATTTATGAATATGTGAATCTTCATAAAGACTTACTATAATGCCTTTGAGTGCTTCTTTCCCTTTCAGATTAAGATCTGACAGCAAAAGCACTGAGACTGGTGTGTGTGTGTGTGTGTGTATACACAGGAACGCTGAATCGGAATTGACGGCAACGTGTTTTTTTTTTTTTAATACATACATATATAATCATTTTGCATTCCAATATATGGTTTCAAAAAGAAATCAGCATGAGCGCTATCATGGTAGGGGAAAACAAGCCATTCTTTGGGGATAGCCACTTGTTTTATTTTTCTGAAATGTCACATGTGGGAACACTACCATTTTTAAATAATTAAGAGTGATTCCTTCAACACTTGCATTTTTCAAATAGTGGCTTTAGGAATGTATGATATATGGTGTAATGATAGGAGCTAATGCCACGTGGCAAGGAACCATGCTAAGCATTTTACCTTATTACTGAATGAAGTAAATTTTGAGGCTCCAAGGTTAAGTAACACAACCAAGGGGGTACATCTAGGGTGGGAAACGGGTAACACTTGAACCCAGGCCTGCCTGACTGTTAATCATGAGACAAAAGGTCTTCTATTAATTCAGCAAAACCTGGTCAGGCGCTCTCCTCAACCTGCAGCTGTAAGCACTTCCCACCCAGAAGTTAGGGCCTGGTTTACCAAAAAGAGCCAGTGTGTCCAACATCCCACCCTAAACAGGAACTGGAAAGAAAAAAAAGTAAAACGTGGCTATTGCGCATGCTCACACCACCCTTCCAAGTTCTTCATTCCCTGCCCCCGGACTCTACTGCAGCAACTTTGCCGGACTTTAGAACAGTTCCCGCCCACTGTGAAGTCAAACGGGCGGAAGCTGTTCCTTTCTGCGACGTGGATATCCTCTCTCCCGCGGATCTTTCCAAACTGGAAGGAGACATCACGCGCCTCTGTTTCTCCGAAATCCAAGTTGGAGTTTGCCAGTTGTCAAGATGGCCGCTGACAGTCGGTCCCGAGGAAAGGCCTTTCATAGGCCAAAGTCTCATCCTAGCCCCGCCCATTTCGTTTCGGCTAGCCGCGCCCGCCTGGCTCCTTGCTACGCATGCGCAGCGGGAGCGGGACGGAGGTGGGACGGTCCCGGGTGTTCCGTGTGCCACCGTCGCCGCCTCGGCCTTGCTGCTTCTGCCACTCCGGGGCTGCATTGCCGGCGTTAGCCGCGCGAGGGGAAGACGGGGTACGAGGAACGTGCGTGCACGGGGGTCCCCATAGTCCCAGCAGTTCCCCTCGCGCGGGGTAGGTGGCGGGGGTCAGCAGCAGGCAGGGGAGGCCCTAGGCGGCGCCATGTCGGCAGGCGGCCCATGCCCGGCGGGGGCCGGTGGAGGTTCGGGAGGCGCCTCCTGCGCGGTGGGAGTCTCCCCCGGTGGAGTATCCATGTTCCGGTGGCTAGAGGTGCTGGAGAAGGAGTTCGATAAGGCCTTCGTGGATGTGGATCTGCTCCTGGGCGAGATCGATCCGGACCAGGCGGACATCACTTATGAGGGGCGACAGAAGATGACCAGCCTGAGCTCCTGCTTTGCGCAGCTTTGCCATAAAGCCCAGACTGTGTCCCAAATCAACCACAAGCTAGAGGTGAGCAGCGGGCGCTGGCGGGGTCACATTCAAGCCTAGGCTGCCTGGTGGCGTCAGATCTCATTTAGATGCACCAGTGAAACGACCCCAGAAAACTGCCTCCTGGGGCACTTGGGCTGTGAATGTGATGGGAGCGTGCGTGTGTATGTGTGTAAAGAAAGGAGTTAGGTAAGGTGGGGGAAGAAAAAGGGGTGTAGACCGAAGTATGGGTGTCCCGGGATGCTGTCATCCACCTTCCTAGCGCAAGGAGGAAGAAACAGGAACTAATTACACCAGCTAAGACTTAAGTTCAAAGATTTTCTGTCATAAGAATGAATACCTTAGCGCACCTTTTGACATTTGAGACATTGATAAAACAGGTTTGCACATCACCAGACAGATACAGTCTTGGTTAGTTTTTTTGAACTATTCCGGATCAGCGTCTGTCGTTTCAGAGACATACTATTCTCTGCATGCATGAACTATTTAGGGGAATTTGATCAAAGCTCTTAGGAAAATTTGGTGGGATAAATACAATAGTATCATTGCCTTTCTCGGTTTACATCCACAGTTGGTCCTTAAATTACAGGCAGACAGCTCCAGAGCTCCCTGCAGTTATTCAAGTGACTTATAACGTTGAACTTTGTGTATTTTTACTTTACTGTGTTTCCCAAAGTCTGAATTTATTTTTGAGTGTGTAAAGAATGATTATTTGTTTTAGTCTGTAATCTTGGGGTAGGCATGGGTGAGTGGTGGTTTTTCCGCCCCCCAAACACAACAACAACAATGAAGCGAAAAACCCTACCACACTGTGCAGAAAATGAAATTAGGGCATTATTAAAATATTTAGAAATCATGATAGATTAATGTTATTAAATAATTACATAAAGAGCATTTTCTAATTAGGCAATTTAAATGAGAATGAATCTTTTAAAAATATATTAAAAATACGATAATCAGTGATGTGCAGAATTCTTTGAACATTAGATTTCCTAAGAAATCATCGTTGCTACTAGTTATAATACTTGAGACTACCTGTTGGATCTAAATCGATATGACTATAAGATACACATCTTCTCTTTGCTTAGTGGTCAGCATTTTTTCGCTTTTCTGTCAGTCATGATAAAAGTGATATAATCTCTGATTAACACTTGTTTGCATATCTAAGATTTTCTGCCTTTTCTCCACTGAATGGACTGTTAATTTCTTCCACCCTGTTTGAAAGAGTAAGAATGAAAGTGTTGATGTGAAGGTAATAATCACTTCTTCTAGGTAAAATGAAAATGTTTCTTGATTTCTTGATTAGTGGTAATTTCTAGAAGGTAGTTATTTTTTCAGGTAGTGAAATTGCATCTGATGGTACTTAGAAATGGTATTTTAGCTTTGAATAACAAAGAGCAAGAGTAGCTTTTGTCACATGAGAACTTTTATATCGTTTACAGCTGTAGGGATCTACTTAGGATAAACAGCTTTTTAAATGACTTGTGGAAACATTAATTAGTGATATTCTGATGTCAGGTTTAAAATCTAATTTTGGAGAAAGGATCATTCTGTGAGTAGGAGATGGTGCTCAATTTTTTTTCATCTTTAAAAGTTTTAGATGAGTATTCAAAGCTGTAATAAATTATGCATGTTCTTTTTCTCAGAAATTATAATTACATATTCTGACTTCATGTCGTGGCTTAGAGGTGGTGTTATTTCTCAAAATAAGAAATACTTGGGAATCACAATGTGAGCATGTTTTTTCAACATGTTTGAAACCCTTGATTTAAAGTCTCAGAAAATGTGGAGAGAGAGACTTACTTGATTTGTTTTTTTTATTTACTTGCTTTTTCAGTTATAATTGACTTGTCTGTCTGTAGTGTTAATCTTTCCTAATTTAGTGATTTTTTACAACTTATATGGAATCAGTTGTGTACTGCTGAGGAGAGAGGTTCAACGCCAGAATTGCCTTTCATAGTACATCTACTGTATCCATCTGCATAATTTCAGGGGTTGCTCCATATAGTGTCATCAATCCTCAGATATCTAGATTCTTAGAAAATATTTCTATAACTTTTTGCCACATTTAAGTAGTTATATTGATTTAAGTATATGGCCTTGAAGACATACTGTTTGAGGGTGCTTATCATTTGATATAACAAATGTGCACCATAGTCTAGTGGTTTTAGAAATTAATACCTCAAACCATGTTACCATAATAAAAAATTTATATATAATCAAGATACAGATACCTCCCATGTGGGTAATTTATAATACAGTTAAATAGATCTTGAGTAACCTTCCAGATTGTGCCTTCTACTGCCTAGTCATTGTGTCTTTAGGTGACATCAGGTTTAATATTAATCTAGACCCATTGCCGCTGAGTTGATTCCAACTCATGGCGACCCTATAGAACAGAGTAGAACTGCCCTATAGTGTTACCAAGGAGCAGCTGGCGTATTTGAACTGCTGATGTTTTTGATTAGCAGCTGAGCTCTTAAGCACTGAGCCACCAGGGCTCCATATTAATCTAGTAGTTAGGAAAACAATTTTGTTGTAAAAAAAAAATCATAGATTACATTTCTAAGTTAAATATGAATGACGTTCACGTGACTACTATTTTCTATAAATTGTATTTGGGAAGAAGGGTATCTATAAGGGGGAAGGGGAGGGCAGAGAATATCAGAATATTTTGAGAGGATGCTATTTCAAATTACTCACGTCTCTCTCATACTTCCTACCTGCCTGAGAACCCCAAGTATGGTGAGCCAGTTGGTAATGACTGTGCTGGAGTCACAGGGACTGATTGGGATAGTAGAAGTGGTAGTAGTAGTAGCAGTGGTAGGTTTGTGTTGGAATAGAACAGTGGTTGGAACCAGTACTTTAGAAAAACTCACCTCCCTGTATTGAAATACAGTTTTCTGCCACTTTACCCTCCTTTAAAACAATACACCTTCTATCACATCCTCCTTTCCCTTAGCAGTTGCTGAATCAGTATATCTTTTTAAAGTGATTTACTGTTCACGACCATCAGTGGAGAAACTTAACTTTGGTCTGAGCCACACTGATAATGAACTGATGACGTACTAACCTTGTACTGTTTAAATCTGCCCTCTTTTTAAACAGGCAGTGAGGTTATTTTTGCAGCACTGAACTTGAAAGTTTATGTTGATCCAGTATATATTTATTGAGTTCCATTTACGTGCCAGATGCTGTATTAGGCACTGGGGATACAATGCAGACCAAAAAACAGACATAGTCCTTGCTGTTATGGAGCTTGGATTCCACTGGGAAAATTTGTTGGTGGAATAATCCCATACTGTGAAATTACAACTTTGATGAGTGCTTTGAAGGAAAGGTACATCAAGTAATAAGAGACTATTTTAGGGGAATCAAATGAGCCTTGACCATTGAGCTAGGACATAAAGGATGAAGAACCCTGGTGGCACAATGTTTACGTACTTGACTGCTAACCAAAAGGCTGGCGGTTCAGACCCATCTAGCGGTTCTGCGGGAGAAAGACCCGCAATCTGCTCCCATAAAGATTGTTGTTGTGTGCAGGCAAGTCGATTCCTACTCATAACGACCCTATAAGATAGAGTAGAATTGCCCCATACGGTTTGCTAGGCTGTAAATCTTTATGGGAGCAGATTGCCATGTCCTTTCTCCTGTGGAGCTGCTGGTGGGTTCGAGTCGCCAACCTCTTGGTTAGCAGACCAGTGCTTTAACAATTACGCCACCAGGGCTCCTTTCTATGAAGATTATAGCCTAGAAAACTCTATGGGGCAGTTCTACTCTGTCACATGGGGTCTCTTGAGCCGGAATCAACTCAGTGGCACCTAACAACAGGAATTAATTAGACTAAGAGAAATGGGAATATTATTCAGCATTCCAGTAGAGGGAACAGGAGGTGTAAAGCGCCTGTGACAAGCAAGAGCATAGCGAAATTGAAGAACTGAAAGGTCATTGGTATATGGCTATGGAGAGAGAGGGCAAACTAAATGAGATGCTAGATATGTTTCGAGAGGTAGGCAGGGGCCATATCTACATGATTTTGTAGTCAGTATAATATATTTGCACGAAAATGGGAAACTATTGAAGTGTTTTAAACCTGATGGTAACCTCAGATATGAGGTTAAAATAGTTCACTGTGACTATTGTACAGAGAAAGTCTGGGAGAATGACAAGTGAATGCAGGGAATTAACGAGGCAAGATAATGATAGCTTGGAATCTGTTAGTGGAAAGGGAGGAAGGTGTTCAGAACAAGACAGACTTGAGTGGTAAGAATCAACACAGTCTAGGGATGGGTTGGAATGGAAGGATGAGGGAATTCAGGATGACTCCAAGGTGTCAGTCTAGTGCACCTGGCTGGCTGGCAGAATAAATGTGAGATAGTATTACTAATAATGATAATGCTAACCTTAGCGATCAGTTGATATGTGCCAACCTCTGCCCTAAGTCTTGTGCATGTATCGATTCATTTAATTCTCACAATAGTTCTGTGAGATAGGTTCAATATTGTTATTCCCATTTTACAGGGATTAAGTAAGGAGCCAAGGCTACAGAGCAAAGGAAATCAATCTCTCAACAAACACACATTTATGTCTGGTGCAGGAGGGAAGAGGTAGAAAGAAAAGCAGGCAGAGAAAGTGACTGTAGTTAGAATGGGGGATTGTGGAGCTCAACGGAGGTACTGTTTTACTTTTGTTTTTAAATAAAAAAATAAAGTTGGACTTGTTTATATGCCAGTGAAAAGCATCTAGCTGAGGGAAAAGTTGAATGTGCTAGAGAAGGATACTTTATATTAGTAAGATTTCTGAGTGAAGATGAGATCCAAAGTACAGGTAGTCAGAAAAACCAGTTACTGTTGAGTCGATTCCAACTGATGACAACTCCACGTGTGTCAGAGTAAAATTGAGCTTGTTAGGGTTTTCGGTGGCTGTGATCATGGTTAAGCGTTCGGTCAGTAGTCTGAATCCACCAGCTGCTCCTTGGAAACCTTGTGGGACAATTCTGTCTTATAGGGTCGCTATGAGTT